TGTCCATAGAAAGCACATTAAATGTAAGTAAAGTATCTATTTTTAAGATTTCAAATAAGTTTTTGGAGAATAAATTGTCAAAATTTGGTTGAAATAATGTTACATTGTCATTCAGTTTAACACAATATTTATGTAAAAATTCAAACAACATGCGTATTCTGATGTGTACATATTAAAATATATAAAAGAATAAGTGAGTATATTACATTTTATTGTGTTTTAAATGAGTAAAAAGTCTTACTGACAAATGGGCAAAACCTAGGATAGTGGCAAATTTTAAAAATGTAAAATTATACCTAATTAGTATTTGGGGTGAAAGTAATTACAGCATTAAATATAATACATCAATATGTGCTCTAAATGTAAATGTCTAGGAAGCAGAAGAGTCAAATTGGAAAACTTCAAAGTTAAAAAAAAAAAAAAAACTTACAAGCATTATTTTTTAAATTAATTTTGCAAAAATAAAAAAATTGCTCAAGGCTTAAGTAGCTCTGCTCCCAAATAACAGAATATTGAAATAACTTTTACTGTAGCTTCTGATCACACTGCAATAACTGTGTCTTGTTTTCCGGTGCAAATGTCTAAAGATTCTTAAATCAAGATGCATTTACTTGAGAAGCAAAATGACACACGTCTTGCTTTATGAGAAATTGATCAAAATGAAGTGAGTTTATGATCAAAACAAGAACAAGTATCTGTCAATGGAGTCCGAAAAATCAACTTAATTGAGATTTTTTTTTTAATGGAGATTATGGTGCTCACGATTTTGAAGAAAAAACATTAGACAACTAAACAAAATCACATGTAATTTCTGAATGAATGATTCAATGACTCACTCAAGATTTATTTGTTTCATTACTGGATGAATCAGCGTTTTTGAACGAATCTCTATAATGAATGATTCAATGACTCACTCACTCAAGATTTACTTGTTTCATTACTGGACGAATCAGCGTTTTTGAACGAATCTCCTGAATGAATGATTCAATGACTCACTCAAGATTTACTTGTTTCATTACTGGACGAATCAGCGTTTTTGAACGAATCTCTATAATGAATGATTCAATGACTCACTCACTCAAGATTTACTTGTTTCATTACTGGACGAATCAGCGTTTTTGAACGAATCTCCTGAATGAATGATTCAATGACTCACTCAAGATTTACTTGTTTCATTACTGGAC